GGGTTAACCGCCCACATGCACTTGGTGGTGGGGTCAGCCACAGGGGTCTAAGCTCCAGCGTTTACTCACACAGCTGCAGAGGCCTGGGCGAGCTGCTGGTGCAGTTCCCAGGCTCTAAGGGGAGTTGACTGTGGGGTGGGGCAGGGAGCAGGAAGGGACTGAGACAGCTGAATGTGACTATCCGTGGAGTTAAAGCTGGTAAAACCTGCGAGCTTTCTGCAGCGGCCGTGCTGACCATTCCCTGCTCTCTTCAGTGGTATACGCTGCTGGTCTGTCTGCAGAGCAGACCACTGGGAACCATGATCACTCCACAGCGTGGCTGTTACTGGTGGCCCCTACTTTTCTTCCTGGTTACTAGCTGTCTCTACATCTCAGTTTTGCTGGTCTCTGGGTGCAATGAAACTGAAGTAGGACCTTCATGTGGGGCCACGAAATGCGAGGGAAGCTGCCCATGTGCCCTGCACTTCTCTTCCCTGCAAGAGGAACCCTTTCTAGCTGGGAAGCTGAGCAATGCCAGCTTGGGGACAGGAGAATCCAAAAACGAAGCTGTCCTCTTTCCCTTTGTGAGCAGTCATTCTCAAGGTTTGTTTTGTTCCACTATGCTTTGAAGTTTCTTAAGTAGACTCTAGAGCTCTCTTTAGTCATGGTTAGCTACCTAATTGTTGTTTCCTGTGAAGGGATGAAGGCTGAGGTCTATTACTCTGCCATTCTGGTGACATCCCACTGGTAAATTTTTATAATATCTATTATAATGTTCTACCTTGGTAAACCTGAATTTTAAAAAACTCAAAGATTTTCAATGTTTAGGGATCACAAGCTTTGCCAAATCAGTTAATACTAAAAACAACCCTATACAACACAAATATTACTGAAAGATCTTACAATACACAGAGCAAAAGAAAAACATAAGCAAGCTCCACCATTTGCACCCTTAAAGCAATAAATCATGGTGGTGAAATATGAAAAATACAAAATGTCATGATCACTGTATCACGATTCAATAAAACTCAGTCTCTATCCAAACACAGTAGAAGAAAAATACACAAACACCCTGACATGTGTAATTTTAAATTTATAACCGTAAACCTCAAATGGACCTTCAGTGCTGCCTGAAAGTCCTACTTTATTTCACTCACTGGTTCTCTCAAAAACCATTCCACACTTTCTTCTCAAACCTCTAACACCCCTTCTTCACCATCACTCTAGCAGATAACCCTAGTCTTTTCACTAAACAAAGAGAAGCAAAAAGAAGAGAACTGGTTCATGTGTCTACCACCACGCTTACAAACCTCCTCACCTCTTAAAGACTCTCTCCTCCTGCCATGATGACGGGTGGCACCCAGCTTCTCTGGAAGGCCAGCCCCTCCCGGGCTGTCCTCACACTCACTCTTGAACCCATGATAATCACGCTTTCCTCCCTACCAGACCGAGGAAACAACACCTAAGAGAGTCGCCAGAAATCTCCACAAAGCCAAATCTAATGGTCACTTGTCCATCTTCAGAGATCGTATGTAGCCTCTCAAAAGCCACCGGCACTTCCTGTCTTCTCTCGCTTCTGAAACTCCACACCCTCGGTCTTCCTGCTGCCTCACTGGCTGCACTTTCTCAGCCTCATCTGTTGAACCCTTTCTGTCCCCTTCCAGACAGTGCTCAAGAGCTCAGTCTTCAGACCCACATCATTAATAATTTTTTAAGTCCCACGGCTTTAAATACATTTATTTTTTAAAGATTTTTTGTTTATTCATTTGAGAGAGAGAGCACAAGCAGGGGGAGGGGGAGAGGGAGAAGCAGGCTTCCCGCTGAGCAGTGAGCCTGACGCAGGGCTCCATCCCAGGACCCTGGGATCATGACCTGAGCCGAGGGCAGACGCTTAACCGACTGAGCCACCCAGCCACCCCTAAATACATTTAAATGTTAACAGCATCCAAATCTATATGACAGAGCCAACATCCAGCAGAGCCTGATGACAGTCACTCCATGCCACCATGTGAATGTTTAACAGGCATTTCATATTTCACATGTCCGTAACAGTATTCTTGATCTCCAACCTCCAGTGAAATGTGTTCCCTGCAAGGTTTTCTATTTCAATCAATAACATCAGAATTGCCCCAAATCCTACCACTTCTCAGCAGTTTCCCACCCTAATCCAAGGCTCTATATGAATTAATGCAATAACCTCCTAAAGTGATCTCCCGATTTCCACTCCTGCCTCTCTACATTACCTTCTCAAAAGAGCTGCCAGAAAAATCCTTTCTAAAATAAACCAGCAGGTTCCAATCTGGCATTTAAAGAGCTGAGAAGTTGCCACTCTGTCCCAACAAGTACAAAGCAGAACAGCATGAAAAATCAACAACTCCTCTTAGATCTCTCAGGAAAGGGATGACCCCAAAATCAGGGAGACAGTCAGGTGGGTACAGAGAACCACAATTTATCTGTGCAGGAAGCAGTGGTCCCGTAGGAATCACTGCTGGGCAGGAAAACCTAACCTGTAACTGACATAGTGCCGGAGGCTCAGTGTGGACAGAGGGACAAGTCTGAAAGTTAAATACTCTGGGGAACCAGGTCCTAGGGAAAGCCCCCATAATTCGGTGAGTTTGACCTCTAGGTGCTCAACCAGGTCCTCAGAGCAAAGATCAGAAGAAACAGCATTTTGACAGACAGCAGAGCATTCTGTTCTTCTTAACAAGGTCAGCCCTCAGGATGAACTGTCTTACCAGAGCTTCACCCGCAGGGGTTTTACCACAGCCCGGCCCACCGGAAGCAAGGGACACACAGCACTGTAGCCCCCTCCAGCCATCCCTTCCCCGCAAGGCAGGGAAGAAAACCAGAAGCACTGGTGAAGTTCACAGGCCCGGGAGCATCGGCTCACCAACAACAGATGGACAACGTAAGCAGAGATGGAAATCCTAAGCACGAGAAGAACTTCAAGAGACCAAAAACACGACAAGAGAAATGAAGAGTGCTTCTGATGGGCTTATGAGCAGACCGGACATGGCTGAGAAAGGAAGCTCGGAGCCTGAAGATGACAAGAGAACTTCCCACAATCAGAAAGCAGAGAGAACAAAGACTGAAGAAAACAGAACAGGATATACGAGAATTGTGGGACAATTACAGAACATAAACCAGATCATGACACTGTCCTAGTCCAAACCTTCAAAATCACTTACAATGCCCATCGCTTACACAAAGCCACAAGCTCCCACACCGTGGCCTGTAAGACCTTACAAGATTTGAGTCCTGCTATGTCTCCCACCTCTTCTTCTACTCCCCTGTTCCTTTCTCCTTTTCCCAGTCTCACTTGTCAGCCTGTTGTTTTCTCCTGCTCTTCGAGCTCAGCTCTGCTTCCGATCCTCTGCATTTGCTGTTTCTTCCACGTGAATATTCTCTCCGGGACACTCACATGGACCACTCCCTGACTCTGTCCACAGGCTGCAGAAACATCACCTCCACAGAGAGGCCGTCCTTCAACACTCTACTGAAACACCAGCCTATCTCCTTCCATTTTGCTTTACTTCCTACAGCAATATTTTCTATTTTGTATAATATTTATGTTATATAATACTTTACATCATGCATTTGTTCACTTTCTGTCTCATCCACCAGAAATATGAGCGCCTTGAGGGGAGGAACTTTGACTTGATCGGTTCCCTGCTCACAGCACCAAGAATGGTTATCTACCTAGCACAAATGAGGTGTTCAGTGAACAAGTGAAGCAATAAATGACTACTACAATTTATAACAAGGTTTTATCTTGTGTATCAACCTGAATTGACTATGCTCAGATTACTAAAACTAAATAATTCAGAGTTGCACATACAATGGTTGTCCTGTTTCTGAAAAGAAAACTTTCAAAAAATATGACCTTCCTTCTGCATTGAATTTCCAGACCCTAGGAGACTTCTAGTCTTTCCCTCCAAATAAAGAGAAGTAAAATGATCCTATGGGTTAAATTCAAGATCCCATACAATTCTTGGTGATGGGAAGAATAATCATTTCTATTTAAACCCAAGTTTGTTTTACTCCTCCCAACACACACATACACACAGACACATTGCTTATCTTTATTCTAATTTTCATGAAGTAAAATTTTTCACCAGGCAGTATATTCAGAGTTTGAAAAAAAAAGAAGTCTAAAAATGTATACAGTAAAAAATCCTGCCCCTGTACATCAGATACCGAGTTCAAACTCCCACCACCAAAAAGTAACCACGGATATGCCAAAGCAGGCATGGGCAAATTATTCCAACTATTTCAGCTTTGTGGGGTGTACGGTCTCCATCACAACTATTCAACTCAGCTGTTGTAGGGTGAAAACAACCTTAGACAACGGGTAAACAAATGTGGACAGCTGTGTTCTGGGAAAGCCTGGCCTGCAAATCCAGACATCGAGCTGAAACTCCAGCATAGTCAAACCTGTTACACAGCTGAGTTCAAATAGGTCTCTTTCAAAAGAAAGTCAGTGGTAGTGTTTGGAAGGCACTGCAACCAAGAATGCTATTTAAAACAAAAACTAATCCTACTAACCATAATGATGTACTAACATACATTTTCACATAAATATGAAATATAAATACAAAGTGTTCATATAAATAGATTTAAGATTATTCTAAGATGTCTCCTCCGTAATCTATAATATGTTACTTCAAATACACTCCTTGTGATATAATTATGAAGAACTGAAGGAACATTAACACAAAATACACCGGTCATCTAACTCTGGCCCAAAACTTTCCCTTAAATGGTAGATCAAATACACAATTAACATTGTCATGGTATACATAAAAAAACTAAACCAGAGTCTATATTTAAAAACAAAATAAATCCCAATTATGTATTTCCCAATCAATTCCAAAATGCATGTTCTTGATAGGTCTTATAAAGGATTTGGTTTAATAAAATAAATCAAGATCAGAAAGAACCAGCACTCTGAAAAATAGATCATTGCTAGATGGAGTAACCAGTTTCTCTAAATTGAAAGGTATCCTAGGAATGGATCTTACCTTAGATGCCATCCTCATAAAAAGTTTGTTTTGATTTTCTGCTGTTCCCATCTTTTCATTCTTGACTAAATCATTTAGGCTGAGATTATCATCATCATGAAAGTATCTAACCCTTTCTTTTTCTTCATGGGTTGAAGCCTATGAGAAAATGAACATTATTTAGTGAAAACATGGGTCTTTGAAGTATTTTTAATTAACTATCTGTAAATCTGATATTAAATACAAAAATCCCACTACATACCACAATCTTTCCTTCCAGCTAGCTTATCCCTATTCTGTGTGCTTCCTTTTGGAAGAATTTCCATTAGAATACCACTCCCTATTTCTGCCCCATTACTCTCCTCTTCCCTAGGGATGGAAGTATAACACTATCTGATTTCTGGGTTTGGGGGAAGAGGCAGAAATGTTTTATCCCTTCTTCTCTCCTGTCTGCTCTTCTTGTAGTAACAATTCCTACCACCATGGAGGGAACTCCATGATCATCCAGAGATCGAGTAAGCATGCCAAAAACAGAGTGAAATATTAGCAAACCGATTTTACACAGCTCTATCAGAAACAAAGCTAATATTCTGATTCTCATCTAAATCAGTCCTGGGTTTTCCCAGCAGCTCGTTCCATACCTACATGTGGAAAAGAAAAGTGCTATTTATTTCCTCTCAAGTCCAATCTCCCTTACGTTCCCTTATTCTCACCTGCTCTTCAACCTCTCTGAGATCTTTGGAACCACATTCCCGGTATTTCTTCCCAACATTACTATTCCTGAAATCACGAGCCTAAATCTCCTATTCCATGACTTCAATCACTCCCTGGCTCCAGACCCTTAATTTCTGGCCCTCTCATCCTTTCATTATACTCGAAAGGCAAAGCTCAATCCCAAATGTCCTCTTTACCCCGGTACCCACACTGCTGGGTCAGAGGTAGCTCAAAAAGCTCAGTTGTCATCTGGCATCGCATCCATGACTCCCCAGCCAGTTCTGTCCTTTCATGGAATCCAAACCTTTACTATTCTCCTGCTACATCTCCACTCCAAACCCCTAATTCCTCCCATTTCATTAGAAGAGGGATCCATCCCACTCTATTTGCTGAAAGAATTACTATCTCCAGCAGCGTAGGCACTCAACAGGCAAATAATAAACATCTGACAAAAAATTATGAATGAACAAATCTTCTGTGAACCCAATTACCCCCTTGTATGATATTCCAAATCTATAACAAAAATTCTAACTTGGGAAAACTGAATACATTGTTTTTACCATCTCAAAAGCCTCAACGTATGCTAAAAACTAATTGGTAGAGCTGGAAGACGGAAAAGAAAATAAGGTTTATAAAGGATCAGAGCAACTACTACTATTAAGACATTATTGTCTTATCCAATCACCATGGCTCAAATTAGATAAAACAAGATTTTCCCTAAGAGCTATGTTAAATATGTAAAAAAAATTAGAAACAATGGCAAAAAAATGTACACAAAATTAAAACTGCCAGGGTGCCTGGGTGGTTCCGTCAGTTAAGCATACGCCTCTTGATTTCGGTTCAGGTTATGATCTCAGCGTTGTGAGACTGAATCCCCGCATCAGGCTCCAGTCCAAGCGTAGAGCCTGCTTAAGATTCTCTCTCTCTCCCTAAGCCCCTCCCCACTCAAAATTAAAATTGCCTTAAACATTCAATGTTCACCACAGTTATTGGAAAACTGTAGTTGAATCAGACTGTATTTTGTAAAATGCGAAGGGATATATCCAAGAATAAAAGTAATATAATTTACTACCTTCTAACATTTGTATTATAAACCTACACTGCAGAATATTCTGTAGTCTGATGCAAAGAAAGCCAAGGGGGAGAGAGGAACTCTGAATTAATAAACAAAGACCTCTGTTAAACACACCATCTGTCTCTTCCTTCTTCCTCCTTTACATTCCAGAGATTTTCCTGGTGTATGCACAGGCCACACTCTTCCAGACTGATCTGTTCTGACAAGGATCACTTCTTGGTCTTCATTCTATGGACAGATTTAGAGATAACTTTTGAAATTATTGTGAAGAATATTGAATATTTATATTTAGTAATCAAAAAAAAAGCATAAAAATGACTCTAGCTTCCACATGTAATTATAGATTATCTTCAGTCTCCTGGAATTTCATTACCCACTATAATGTAAAATGATCACGCTCTTTTCAGAGAAAAGGTTGGGGAAAAAAAAATCCAAGTTCATTTTATTATTTTTTTTTTTTTAAAGCAATAACAGAAGCAAACTTCAAATAATGTTTCCATCTAGACAATATTAAAAGATGTCTAAGTACCAATATTCATACAGGCATTGTATGGGAGTGTTCATAATTTATTCAGTAGATGTCATGTTTAACGCATGTTTTTTCAATTTAAAGATGCTACTAAAACCTGATTATAAGAAATAAAGCAACGAGGGGGGTGCTTGGGTAGCTCAGTGGGTTAAGTGCCCGACTCTTGATTTCAGCTCAGGTCATGATCTCAGGGTCATGAGACTGAGTCTGGAGTCAGGTTCCATGCTGGGTGTGGAGCCTCCTTAAGATTCTCCCTCTCCCTCTGCCCACCCAACCCTCACCACACCTCTGCTCAAGTGCATGCAACGCTCTAAAAAAAAAAAAAGAAGAAGAAAAGAAAAAGAAATAAAGCAACAAGATGACACAACAAACTTGCTAAATTAGCTGCTATAACAATACTCCACACAACTTCTATTCTTTCCATTAACAGCCCTAAAATGCCTTCCACTTCTCTGACTCTTCAGAAGTTATATCCCACTTGCTTTCAATCCATAATCTTTTTCCTACAAACTACTGGCCAAATATATGCCTGGTATGGTACAGAATAAGATTAAACTTATAGTCTATGAGAAAAATGAAAATTATTAGAAAGGTTCTAACAAAGAATCACATAAAAAATATTAGATATCTACTTTATTAAAAAGCAGTCTGAAACAAGTCCAAGCAAATTATTCACACTTCAATTTTTTTCTCAAATCAGAATCAATTATTAAAAAATCAATTTCAGTTCCATTTAATAGAGATTTAGTTCCCCTGTTAAGATGGAAGAAAAACTACATATCAATTATTGATCTTACATTCACATACAATACTAAGTAGATGGTAAAGTTGTTATCACTACTTTTCTTCTTCAATTAGTTAACATTAATTAATGATGTGTTATATTTTAAAGAGTACCTCTTGTCATTCTCTTACTGGGTAAGAGAGATGGTTTATCAGATTGCTAAAGCTGATCTCCCTAAGGACTTTCAAATTACTAAATCTAATACCTACTTATCAGTTATCATCTTCCTTGATGTGAAAGTATTTGATTCTGTTTATTATAGTCTCAGCCTGAAACTCCTCTTATTCCAGTTTTCTAAATACTCTACTCTTTCCTGGTTCTGCCTTACCTCTCTCTGACCCATTCATCCATTAAATACTCTAAAAAGTACCTACCTTATGTAGTTACTAAAAGAAATATAGTCCCTGCCTACAAGAAGTGTACAGCCTATTGAATTATTCTCTACATGCATTAATCAGCATAAAGAAAATCAACTTCACTTTTTCCTCCATTTCGAGCTATACTCCAAGTATTGATGACTCCAGGGTTCCTTGGTTTCCATCCTTCCAGCCTGAACATAATTGTCACTCGTACTGACAAAAAATTCATTATGCTAAACACAAATGTAATTATGTCATTCTTTGCTGAAAAACTTGCAGGGACCCCATACCACTCAGGAGAGATCAGTACCTTTCAAAGTGTGGCCCACAAACCAGTACCAGTCAGAATTACCAGCCATGATATATTTGTCATCAGTCCACAATGAGTTAAGTACAAAAACTGAGTGTTTATAAACTTTTACAATAATCTTCAACAGTAATTTTATGTTGGTTCAATCTAAATTAAAATTTGGACCTATATTTTAGAATATCTTTATTTCATTTTTCTATAATTTTTATTGTGTTTTACAAAACTGTTAGTTCATGATGGGCTGGAAAATCCCCCCCCCCAAAAAAACCCCCCAAAAAACATTCTGATCCTACAGCACAGTCTGAGAAACACAGTACTAGATAGTGGGATAAAGGCCAAGCACCTTAACATACCACGTAAGGCCTTCAAATTTGAATACTATGGCCTTCTTCAAATTCACTTTTTCTCTAGCCGTTCACAGTTCATAGTTTTTGTAAATCTACTGTCCATTTTACTTCCTAAATAACTGTAGGCGTGTCTGTATTGCTAGACCATAATCTTTTCAGTAAGTATTGGTCTATTTACAGCTATCTATCTGTCTTTGCCAGGCCAAAGCATACAGATACGCTTCCCGGTTCCTATAGCACTGAGTACAGTGGCGAAAAGCGACGACAGTTCACAGATGGGATTAACAAACTGGTGCCTCGGACAGACTGATTCTACTCCCATCGCTAACCCACCACACTCCCAGCTTTTCTACTTCCTGTTCCTTGGGCATGCCAAGGGACACCATGTGTTCCCACTTTGGGTACCCAAGGCAGAAATACTGAGCAATTTCCATGTTTGCTACTCCATTAATACAGAACGTGGGGCTTATTTAAGAATCTACAACAGGATCAACACACGAAGGCCCACAGGCCAAATCCAGCTGCTGCCTGTGTTTGTTTGGCCCACAAGAATGGTTTTACACTATTAAATGGTTGAGGGAAAAATCAAAAGAATAATATATTTCATGATGAATAAAAATTATATGCAATTCTCATTTTAGTGTCCAGAACACTGAACTGGAACAGAGCCATGCTCACTCATTTATCAAGGGCTGTGGCTGCTTTCATTCCACGACAGCTTCAAACCTATGTAACTGAGTTGCCGCGACACACACTGGAAACCCCATAAAGCCTAATATAGTTACTGTTTGGTCTGCAGAGAAAAAGTCTGCCAACCTTTGATCTATATTATTCTTCAGGTGATAAACCTAATCCAAAATCATTTAATGATTACTTTTACTACCTGAGAACAAGCAAGATAAAACTTGCAACCGCTGGACAGCATTACAAACAGATCCATGCTGTAACAGGGAGGGTAAGAGAATGGGGACCCAGAGCCCTCTCATTTTGTTAACATAGGTCTGACGTCCATTTCTGGCCACAACGGCCACCATGAAAACCAGATATAACCTGGCACAGTTAACATAAAGCCAGACAATACAGAAAAATACATGCAACACAGGTGCCTGGGTGGCTCAGTTGGTTAAGCGACTGCCTTCGGCTCAGGTCATGATCCTGGAGTCCCGGGATCGAGTCCCGCATCGGGCTCCCTGCTCAGCAGGGAGTCTGCTTCTCCCTCTTCCGCTCCCCCCTCTTGTGCTCTTTCTCTCTCTCACTCTCTCTCTCAAATAAATAAATAAAATCTTTAAAAAAAAAAAAAATACATGAAACAACCAAGCCAGAAGAAACACCCCAGAACTAAAAGTGGCTGCCTCCAGGACGGGGATAAGGTCTGAAAAGGGCTCAAGACATTGCCTTTCTTTCCCACAGGCCTTCCAGCATTATTTGGGTGTAACACACTGATTAAAAAGAAAAGGAAAGGAAAAAGCACACTCACTTTGCTTCAAAGATGGTATCTGAAAATTCTAAATGTTCATTTGAAAGCTATTTGTAGCATCTGGTGCATAAAGGAAACCCTCTTCCACTAGGTCAGATTTTCCCACCAGTTGGTATTCTGCAAGTCTGTCATCACTGAAGGCCACAGAACATGTTTCTATCTTTTAAAATGTCAACAAATAAGCAGTTATGATAGTTCACAGTATTTTCCTGATTTTTAAACAATCTCCATTGTATCTCTAATTATGTCCACAGAGCAGGTTATTCGCTACACAAAAGTTCCCAGCCGAGGCGGTGAGTGCTTTCCACTCATCAACATGTGTATCCTGGCTCAAGGCTATTTGTTCATTTGTATACTTATTCACAGGACCTTATAAGCTCAAAGGAAGCATGGTGATGGTACCAGACAGACTGCAAGCAGCCTTAGTTACGTCTCCCTTTCTCAATTCATAGGAACTGTTTACTCGTGTCTTCTCCCCGCCCCTTGATCAGCCTTCCTAGAGGCTCATCTATTTTATTAATTTCTTTCCTGTTTTTTAATCACTTCTATTCACTTTTAGCTTTTATTTCAGGAATTTCATTATCTACTCTTCAGTATGTTTTCTCTTCTCTCTTCCGCACTGGGTTCCTGGCCATGTCACAGCGCACAGCATGCTGGTGAGGATCCTGGGGCCAGGATGCCCACGTGCCAACCCTGCCTCATTACGGAACCTTGCATGTCACTTAATTAGCTCGACTTCTTCATTCAGAGAAATAAACAAAATAACAAGGTATTTCTAGGATCCAACAAATTAATACATACACGTCATTTAAAACAACGCGTAGGAATAAAGTGAGTGATCAATAAATATTAGCTTACACTTTTTAGTTCTCTTTCATTTATCTAAACCTTTCTTGATCCGACTGAGTCTTTCTTGGATTTACCCCCTCTCCTCTCTAAAATGTCTAGGATATTATTATTCTTCATATACATCTACTACTCTTTCACTTTTTCTTTAGAATATTATTCTGTTCTCAGAACTGAAGCTACTAAACATCCTTAAAGTCCTCTTGAGACTGTGCTGCCATTTTAAATTCACTAGCAATGAGTGTTTACATCCCAATTATTTTTTACTATGTTCTCTGGCATGCGAGTGTGTAGCTTGATGGGAGGGTTTTTTCCTTCCCTTCTCTGCCTCCTCCCACCCTTCAGTAAAAGGCTGTTTTGACAGTGTCTCCACTCAGTCCATGAGGACTCCCGGTTCTTACAACAGCATCTCACCCTGTGAGACTGGGGCTATTTCACGTAGTCCAAGTCACGGCTTCAAGGCTCTGTCTACATTCTTCCATCATTTCCTAGGAGCTACAGCGCTAAGTCCTCAGGCCATTTCCAGACCTTTCTCAGGAGCCCTCCACCTGGCATGAGGCAGGGAGAGGCTGTGTG